CCATCGTCATTGAAATTAAAAGAATAACTAACCGTTGAAAACTTGGTCATTCTTCTCTGATTATATAAAGATTTGTCTCATATCAGATTAAGAACCAGAAAAAAAATAAAAAATTAGACATCATTTATGCAATGTTGGGCATGTTTGGAGTTGATTTTTTNACTTTTTGAAGTGCCGGTTACAACCTTTTGGAATTTTTTAATCGTACTTCTTTCCCATGGTAGCTCATGAATTGGTCCTCTGCACTCCATACAGAAGCTCAAGCCAACCACTCTACAAGTTCCGGTCATTGTTAGAATTGAATAAGTGTTGCTTGATTAATTCAAACTAGTTCTTTCTTTATCAAGATACAATGGTAATTTTACTAAGTAAAAATGCTCAAATTCAACTCAACAAAACCTTGTTTTAATACTCTTGGGGTAGGCTATATTTTTTTTTTTTTTTTTTTTTTTCCTATTATGCTCTATCAAGAGTCAAGTTTTCTATAAAACCCTAAGTTATCATATCTTTATTTATTATTTCATTTAAAGTTAATTTTGACCTAATCTAAAATTTCGCAAGTCATGTGTAGAATTTTCACGTCTGCTATTATGCCAAATTGATAAAATAGTTCCCTCGTGGATAAGATCTTCATACGCCACCCTGACTCATTCAGCTACGGGTTTTTACCATTGCATGCATCTAGAAGAAGATCACGTGAGGATAAAAGCCAAGGAAAAACAAGTGAGAATTGGGCGTAGTTGTCTGGGAACCCATCGTCATTGAAATTAAAAGAATAACTAACCGTTGAAAACTTGGTCATTCTTCTCTGATTATATAAAGATTTGTCTCATATCAGATTAAGAACCAGAAAAAAAATAAAAAATTAGACATCATTTATGCAATGTTGGGCATGTTTGGAGTTGATTTTTTTCGGTGAAAAATTATGATTTGAAAAGTTTCGCAAAAAAAATTAGAGTTAAAAAAATTCTCTAAAACAATTTTTGATATGTTCTTTAAAAATATGACAAAATTGGAAAAATCTATTTTNTTTCGGTGAAAAATTATGATTTGAAAAGTTTCGCAAAAAAAATTAGAGTTAAAAAAAATTCTCTAAAACAATTTTTGATATGTTCTTTAAAAATATGACAAAATTGGAAAAATCTATTTAAAGTGACTTTCTAGCTTTTTGTGTCAAAATAAAAAATAAGTAAAAAATATGAATTTCAAATTTTTTTTATATCACTAATAATATTTTATAATTATAATAAACTAAAGAGTTATGTAGGACCTGCAACAAAACTCCAAAACTCCAAAAAACCGAATGAAAAATTTATAAAATCAACNTGAATTTCAAATTTTTTTTATATCACTAATAATATTTTATAATTATAATAAACTAAAAAGTTATGTAGGACCTGCAACAAAACTCCAAAACTCCAAAAAATCGAATGAAAAATTTATAAAATCAAATTCTTAAATCAAATTAAATAAGTCTTTTGGGTCCAAAAAATTGTTGCATAAGTTGGTAAAAAAGTCGAGGTACAAACAGACCTGACTTTATTTCTTAAAGATAAAGTTACTATTTATTGAAATCAAATTACACCTTTTAAATGTGTAATTACAACTGATCAGGGGGATCGATCATAATATTTCATGATTGATCACGAACCTGACTAATTTTTTAAATCAGCCTAAATAAGTCTTTTGGGTCAAAAAAGTTGTAACATAAGTTGGTAACAAAGTTGAGGTACAAACGGAACTCACTTTATTTCTTAAAGATAAAGTTACTATTTTTTGAAATCAAATTACACCTTTTAAACGTGCAGTTGCATCTGATCAAGGGGATCGATCATAATATTTCTTGATTGATCACAGACCTGACTTATTTCTTAAATCAACCTAAATAAGTCTTTTGGGTCCAAAAAATTGCAGCATAAGTTGGTAAAAAAGTCGAAGTACAAACGGATCTGACTTATTTTATTTCAATTTTTTTTAAAACTAACTATTTAAGCTAGCTCTAAATAAACCCATTAGCTAGATGTGTTTGTCATTAAAAACTAGGTTATTCATATTTGACAATAATCTAACTTATCCATTAGATCTTTTTAAATTTCATGTCAGAGACTTGGGTAGTATTCATAAAACTGAAGTCTGAAAGTTGAATGCTGAATTTATGGACTGTTTAGTATTTATTGAAATTTAAGTACTGAATTTAACTAAACTGTTTGCTAACTGCACAGAGTTGACGTCTGAAAATAAATTAATTTTCAATTTTATTATTCCACTCTTTAATTTAAAAATATTTATAAAATATGTCATAACATATATCATAATCACAATTATTATATTGTAGTCTACATTTAACAAATATTTAATAAAAATAAATAAATAAATAACATATGAATAATACAATAAGTGAACAATAATATTTGATAAAAAAAATGACTAATAAATAATATTAAAATAATACAATAAATAAGATTTCAATAACAATATGTGTGTGCGCCGTGTGTGTGTGTGTGTGCAGTCCATGTGTGTAACTATGTGTGTACGCAATGCATATGTCTGGGTGTAATTGTGTGAGAGTAGTGCGTTTGTGTGTGTAATTGTAATTATATATGTATATTTTTGTTATAACAGACAAGAGAAAGAAATATAAAGTAGAGCTCGACAAGGAGAATATATAAGTTAAGCGAATTGGAGAGAAGACTAATTAGAGTTTTAATAGAATTTTAAAATATTTCAGGGTATAATTGTCATATTGTAAATATTTTATAAAGATGGTTTTGCTGAGTGTTTTCAGCTTTCAGAATTAAGTAAGATATTTCCTACTTAATATTGTAACCTATTTTTAAGAAGTATTTAACATATTAAGAGAGTTTAAATTTTAGTTATCAAATGAACTTAATTAATAAGTGTTGAATACATTCGTTTTAAGTGCTGAATTTGAATTAACAAACACACCCTTAGTCAATACTATCTCACTCGTTTCTTATCGAGTCTATCCAGCGGGAGCATATCCTATATATCCAGGAGAATAATTCGTCTTGAAGTAGAAAAAAAGCATAGCGATGCATTGAAGACTAGGTAAGTCTTCTTTGGTTGTTATAAACAAAACGCACTAAGTGATGAAAAATTCAAAGCCACATGCCTAAGGAAATAACATTCATTGTAACGGTGATATCATGTCAGTATTGTCACGTGATATTACTAACTAATAATATACAGACAAATAAGAAAGTGAACCTCGCACAAGCCAATAACTACCCGTTCATATAAACAGATAATTACTCACTTTTTCATCATTATAAACTAATAACTATTCAAGCATAGTTTATTATTAATTGATGAAACCATATTATCAATGCTGATATGGTATCATCGTTGTATTGAATTATCTCATGTATATGCAAGGGCAATTAGTAATATAAATATGTAACCATGAAACTTTATTATTCAAAACCATCAACCAATATGTTGTTTTAGATTAAGGTTAGCTTTGAAATTCTTATCACAAATGTGAAATATGTACTGATTAATTATTTGATGGATATTAAACATATTTCATAACTGGATGCCAAACCTCATTTTCTTCTTTTATAATAGTGATACATATACATAATATTATGTAATAGTAAAAACGGTCTCAATATGAGTTTCAAAGTGAACTGTGGNCCTCATTTTCTTCTTTTATAATAGTGATATATATACATAATATTATGTAATAGTAAAAACGGTCTCAATATGAGTTTCAAAGTGAACTGTGGTCTAAAATAGAATGCCAATTAAGTTTATTCCATTTCCATGACACTGAAAATTAATCATTCCCATATACTTTTACTCATAACACATACTAAATCGATTTATGATCCAGATAAACAGAGAGCTACCCACATGTATCGAGTATTAATAGTTGCATGTANGGTCTAAAATAGAATGCCAATTAAGTTTATTCCATTTCCATGACACTGAAAATTAATAATTCCTATATACTTTTACTCATAACACATACTAAATCGATTTATGATCCAGATAATACCCACATGTATCGAGTATTAATAGTTGCATGTATGTACGTATTGAGATAATGAAAAAGGAAAAATAGTCATATATATAATGATACGAAGAAAAAGCAAGACTAGATGAATGGCCACTTCCATGAGATAATTACGTTGATGTCAGCTAAAAAAAAAGAAATTAGAGTTTGGTGTGGAACTAAGGAAATATTCGTCCTTGAAATACAAAGATAAACCAATTAACCATTAGGGACTTCTTAATTCTGTCTCCNAAAGCAAGACTAGATGAATGGCCACTTCCATGAGATAATTACGTTGATGTCAGCTAAGAAAAAAGAAATTAGAGTTTGGTGTGGAACAAAGGAAATATTCGTCCTTGAAATACAAAGGTAAACCAATTAATCATTGGGGACTTCTTAATTCTGTCTCTAATCTTATGAGAATTTATACGATATTAATTAGAGTGTAGTGTGAATGTCAAAAGTTCAAATTGCGTCATGGCTTTGTAAATTTGATTCTTTCGGGAGTCTTTAATGGCGAGAGCCTCATTAAGTGCACTGTCATTTTCTTTATATGTTATAAAAAATAAAATATTTTTCATTCAGTACTCGTTACATAGATTACAGTACCAAAAAATAAGGTTATTTTGTCATGATACTAATTTAATCCATTTATCAACCGTAGTAGCCGGTCATGTCATTTTGGATTCAATATTAATTAAGAACTGATCAACCATATCCCCTTAATTTTTTATTGAAGTTGTGTCGTGCTAATCTATTGTGTTAAAAAATACCACTGCTATGGGACTAACTGGTCAAAACCTAACCATCGAAGATTAGGTAATTCTTCTCAGATGGTTATAAACAAAATGTAGTCAGTAATGACTAGATCAAGGACACACTATCTATATATAGGGGTTTGTACCATGCTAAATCTACCACCTCTCACCATTAGAAAAAAACAATTTGCTTCATATAGAGAGTATTGTGAGGCATAAAAAAGATGGGCAATCACTTCCTGGCTACCATTGCCCTTGTGGCTCTGGCTTCCTCCTTTGCCTATGCCTCAGATCCAAGCCCCTTGCAGGACTTTTGTGTTGCTATCAATGACCCCAAGGATGCAGGTATCTATCTGTTCTCTTTATTTTCATATTCAGCATTACATGTTATGTGGGTTCATTAACTAATTCTAACTTGACAAAACTCCAATTAATGTCCATGCAGTGTTCGTGAATGGGAAGTTTTGTAAGGACCCTAAGCTTGCCACAGCTGATGATTTCTTCTTTCCCCCTCCCAACATGCCCGGTCTCAACATTCCCGGAAATACATCAAACCCACTTGGGTCGTTGGTGACTCAAGTAAATGTTGAAAAAATACCAGGACTCAACACTCTTGGTATTTCCTTAGCTCGTATTGATTTTGGTTCGTATGGCCTCAATCCACCCCATACCCACCCTCGTGCTACCGAAATCCTTGTTGTCTTGGAGGGTACCCTCTATGTTGGCTTTGTCACTTCCAATTTGAACCCTGGCAATCGCCTCTTCACCAAGGTCTTACATGCGGGAGATGTCTTTGTATTTCCCCAGGGTCTCATTCACTTCCAATTTAACCCGGAAAAAA